CATTGAAGCGTTATCAACATAGACTAGATCTAAGAACTTACCAAACTCGTTCGAGATTAAATTAATTTGGTTAAGACCAAACTCCGACATTTTATCTAAGAACTCGTTAAAACATAAGCGAGTACTAATAGGAATGGTGTAGTCATCAATAGATTTCCATGATATGGACGGTAAATTGAAATTCCCCAAAACAATCATGGAATGAGTATTATTGGCCATTGAGAAAACATTATTTATTAATGAAGCATGCTGTATATATACAGATATGTCCGAGTGAGGYGGATAAGACAAAGTTAAGTAGATATAGCCACTATTAGCGCAAATACAAATGCACCTAAATTCTATGAGAATATCGAAAATCGATAAAATCAGATGATAACAACGAAACTATATAATTTTGTACTTGCAACTCGAAATATTTTTATTTCCGGAGTGTCACTTATTGCGGAAATAACTTAAAAAGTAATAAACTTTTAACTTTTGGAATTAATCTGTGGATCCGCGCCTGGGGCTACCTCTGAGCTAAAAACCTAAAAAAGTCTTAAAACGGCACAGCCCACAACTGTCTGAAGACGCATATCTTGGGACCTGCTTTACCGATCTCAGCCTAAGTGCTTTGGTAAGAATGTTAACATTATTGTATCGAAACCACTTCTAATTCCCATATAACAAAATTTTAAATTCCACCTGATTATTTCACTTCCGGTAAACAAATGAAGCACCAATGAGTATATCTTTACACAAATTGTATCTTTAAGGTATGTCATCTCAAGTCAACAAGTCACAATCGAGCCATAACTGGTCCCCAATATTTTGTTGGGGCTCTGTACCTGTCTGTGAAGRAGCGTAGACTATCACATGTTACACCTAAAATTTTTAGGTTATTGACAGAGGGAATCTTGAGGCCATCGAGTTCTATACTCCTTCGTCCAGTTCGTGAATATGGTCGTATGTATTTGGTGAGGGAGAGTGTCAGCTTCAGTGCAGAGAAGAAGCGGGGGAGCAGGTCGGAGAGATAGCTCTTTATATTTGAACACATGCCATCGGTTCCATTGCTCGACGTTAATATCGTGCAATCATCAGCGTACGAGGATATGGAAACTCCCTCTGGCGGCTGTGGGAGTTTCGATATCTAGACGTTAAACAATAGCAGGGAAAAGACGCCACAATACTGAACCCCCTGTTTAATTCTTCTCAGTTTAGATTTTTCTCCTCAAAACAGTATGGATGATTGACGACCGCTCAGGTAGTTCATGGCCCACCTCTCCCATAATGGAGGGGGCGTAGTTTGTTCGATGTCCTGCAGGAGCGTTGTGTGACCGTCTGTTTCAAAGGCGTTTGACAAGTCCTCCGAGCATCGTTCTTTCACAGGGTGGTAAAGGACTATTTGGGTGTTTATGAAGCTAAGTGCTGTGGTGGTACTGTGCACTTCTCGCACGATAGGACTCCCCTTTGTTGGCGGGTTTCCCAGGATTCAGTAGTGTTCCACTCTTCCGACTTTTTACACATCGGGTACTTGAGAGTGGTAGCAACAGGTTAAGGACTTTGATGAGGTAAATTACTTCCGTCGAGCCTAATCATGTTGATTCCATCATAGCCAATACATTTAGATGTTTTGTTGATGACATTCTGAACTTCATCATCGGTGAAAGTAACTGCCAGTCTTTTGGAATTTTGCACAGCCGTCGGATAACACATTGCATGGTTTTKGTCTACCGAAGGGTGCAGTGTGAATTACCGGCTAAAATAGCTCGCGCACTTTTTCGGGTGCGAAGTRGCAAGGCCATTTAATTGACCTTCAGCTCATTCATCACGTCCCTTTGAATTAGGCAAAACCTTGACAGTAGACCAAAGCTCACTCACATAGGCGGAGAGATTACAGGGCTTCAAGTGCTCTATCCTTTTCGTCCGTTTGTGTTGATTTCCCAATCGCCGAATCTCCAAATTGAGATTCCTTATTCGGGAATCCCCGAGATCGGCATTTATCAGACCACCACTAGCAATTGAAATATCAGGCGAACTATTACATAACTCTGATAGGGGCTTCGTCATTCATTGCGCAGAATGTCAAATTGTCTATCTTTTCAGATTGCCAAAGTTCGTAGGGCGCGTTAAAGTCGCATAATACCAAACGGTTTTCGCAAAGAAGTAGCACACCTATATTCAGGTGATATAATCTAGAGCAACATGTAACTAGGGGGATGTATATATTAAATATTTCGAGCTCGACATCACCTGGCTGGATAGCTATGCCCCCTGACATTCCAGAATAGTAT